CTCTCTCTCTCTCTCTCTCTCTCTCTCTCTCTCCTCTCTGTCGCGCTCATGCCCGCCAAGGACCGGGATCTGACGAACCATGTCCACGAACATGATGACCGACGTGTCCAACCAATCTGGCTCTGATCCGCCGCGTCCTCGTCTAACCCTGGAAGTTGATGCAAACATCATCGTCATCCGTCACATCCCTCGCATTGCATGGAACACATGGACGTCACCTGAGAGGACGATTCTCCTCGTCGCTGCCATCATCGTCAGGGTCGGCGTCTGATGAGATCATGTCCTGCAGCTTGACTTTGTAGTCGATGAGCAGATTGTGCAAGATGCACACCGCCATGAACTTCATCAAATGGTCTTCAAATTCTCGATTTGCCGCCGTCCAAAATTCCTCCAGATGCCTTTCAGAATCTCGAATGTGCGCTCAATGACATTCCTCGCCATTGAGCGGACATCATCGAATGTGACCTGCGCGGGGGTACGATCCCTGCATGTGCTATGGGGAGTTAGCAGCCAATCGAGCAAAGGAAAGCCCGCATCTCCCAACAAGTAGGGTGCAATGGATGTGTCATCCCGCAACAATGTAAGGTCCCCAATAAACACACCTTCGCTGCTCTCACCTTGAACACAAAGACGGCACATTCACAGCACGCGAGAGTCGTGGACAGATCGTGGGCTCCCGACATAAACGTCATAAATTCGACACTCATGGTCGCAAACGACTTCTGCTACAATGAAGAATTGTCTTGTGCGATCGAAGTAGCACTCCGGACGTTCATTCCTAGGCTTTTCGATGTACAAATGGGTGCAGTCAATAGCACCCACACACCCAAGGAAGCCTTTGCGCTCAAAATGATTCATGCGATCCACTAAACGTCGTCCCTGTGTACAAGAGATGACATGAGGGTATTCCCTGACGATAGCTTCGGCCACGTCCTTGTTGCTTTGCAGCGCACTCATACGACCTATGCCCAACCCGTGACCTGATTGCCTGTAGTAACTGCCACTCTCCCACCTGATGAGGGCACATGCAAATTTTTGCTCCGCCGGCGAAAGCTATCTCCAATTCGTGGTCTGGCGCTGTATCAACGGACCGATGCGCTGAAGCATGTCATGGAAGAGTGGACGTGGCAACCTGCAGAATCTCACGAACACCGTGTAATGTCGGTGGCCCACACACTGCAGGTCCTTCCAAACCCCCCCGCTCCGCTCCAACACCCAAATCCTCCTTCCGTTATCCATCACCCTCTCCATATTCCTCATCGCCAACCAGTTCATAACCATGCTATGACAAACACAATCTGCAAGAAGTACCAAGCACTGCTGCAAGTCAGCGTTGAATACAAGCATTGAGGCTGCAGCCTGCAGTACAACCATGACAATTGCATTCCGCCTGTTCATCCGTTGCATGATCGCCATGATGGTCATGAACCATGATGGTCATGAACAACATGTCATCATCAACTTCCTCTCCTCCATTACGTTGATGCCGATGTGGTCGTCCGCTGTCCATGTGTGCGCGGATACCGCTTGCAAGAACAGGAGGAACAACAACTCGTGCTTCGAAAAATGTTGTCTTCCGACATCAACTACACCACCACTGACGTCAGTGACTATGGTGCAACCAGTCATGTGCTTCGTCTGCTGAATGCTCGCAGGTGCGCGCAGGGTGTCCGCATGTGCGGTGTCGACGATGATGCACTCGAAAGCTTCAACGGCAACGGGTATGGCGTTAGCAGCTCTGCACCTCTGTGACGGTGAAGCGGTGGACGACTTCGGGCCGAATCACAATGTACGACCCAACGACCCGGAAGCCGGGACCGGGGAAGGTATGCCACCCGCCTCCATATCAGTGCCGTGCAGGAAATGCCGCACAATCACCCATTATCCACAGCCGCCCTTCCATTACGACCACCGCCAACGGACCTGGAATGCCCTCAGAGGCCCTGTCCTTTCCCAAAAAGGAAATACGGCCCGGAATTTCCTTTTTGGGTATCCGGTGCCAACTCCAGAGCAACATTTCGCAGCGGCAGTGGGCAGTCGGCAAGAAGTTGCGACTTCCGAAACAGTTTGCCGCCGTCCTGTGGGGTCCTACCCTAAGTGGTTCCTATTGGGTAACCGGCACCAACGGAACTGGCGAAAATTTGTGCGGCAGTGGGGTCCGCTTTTCTCTTTGCCATCGCCGGGGCCTACGATTTGGGTTTGGCGGAAGCTTTCCGCCTGGAAAGCTTCCGCCAGGCAGTGGGGTCCGCCTCTTACGCCAGCAGCCCCCTGCAGATTACTGCCTCCTCGGCCATAAAGCACGTCGTAGGGCTCGGTCCTTGAATGCCAGAGCCAATAGGAGGACAGATACCTCGCCTTCTAAGTACCTGATCCCACAGTACATAGTAACAGAGCTTTTTGGAAAAAAAGGGGATCCCATATGTTTTCCCCAACTTCCCCGTCCGACGGCAGTGCAATGCAACAGAAAATGGCTGTTTCTACTCATGGAAATTTGCGTGTCGCCACGGCCTTGACCCGCAGTGCGAAGTTGGTAGGAAACGGTAGGGAGCCCATGGCCCCCTGCCCTTCCCCCAAAAAGTAGGCAAGTTTTCGGGTTTTTTGTTTTTGTTTTTGTTTTGTGAAGGCGGTCTTTCTTTTGCACAGAGGGAGACCGGGTGTCTCCGTTGGACCCGTGCACGAATCGGGAAAGCGCCGAGTTGGACCCGTGCACGAATCGGAAAGCGCCAAGAAGTCCGGGCCTATGGGATCCCACTTTTTCCCTACGAAACATTCAGGGCTTCTCCTACTTTCACGGGACTTTTATGACTTTTTGGTAAAAGTTCATAGTGGGATCAGCCTCCAAGGCGCTGATCCTACAATAAAAAGAGAAAAAACGAGAAAGTCCCTTGAAAGATGGACACGGGTAGTGCGGGGCGGAAAAGCAAACTGGGACCCCACACAGGCGGGTTCCGCGGGTCTTTCCCAAGTACCATGCCGGATTATTTGGGCTTACACCGAGACGGACGTTCCTGTGGCCCGCCATATGGCCTGGCCCGCCATATGGCCTGGCCTCTAGCGTCGTACAGTTCTCTGCTCCGGATGGACATTGAAAAGGGTGACTCATTTTTGCAGCAGCTTTCGCTGTAGGGCTAGGGGTACTCGACCTTTCCATTTTGTGTAGAGCCGTTGGGCCGTTCATCACGGCCGACGCGCCACGTACACATGAATAGAAAACGTGCCCCTAACAAAGCGCGTGTGATTTTGGAAAGTGGTGATCGGCGCCCTGTGATTTCGGAAAGTGGTGATCTGTGATTTCGGAAAGTGGTGATCGGCCCCCTGTGATTTCGGAAAGTGGTGGGATCGGCGTTTCTCAACGAAATTGGCTAACTTACGCACTGTCGGATCAGAAGCTAAGGGACGGGCAGCGCGGATTGGGAGGGTGCCAATCAGGATGTGGATGTGGGAACCGATGAAGTGAGGGAAAAGTAGGCCAAGGCAACAGGGTAGGAAGGCAGGTTCGTGTACGAGGATCCGAACAAGGTGGGGAAGAAGAGATCGCAAGGCACATCTCAGAGCGCGGGGGAGGGAACAGGTAAGGAAAGGAGAGATCAGGGCAATGACGATGGGCCTCAATCACGAGATGGATCTGCAGGGGCCATGTCGAGTGTCGAAGGACGGGCGGGAGGAGAGAGGCGACAGACACAGGACTAGAAGAGAAGAGGATGTTGAAAATCGGATTGTGGGGGGAGGGTCGGGAGGGGAGATGGAGGCCGCAAGTTGAAAGATGGAATCGGCCAGGCGGAAGGGAGGCAATGGAGAAGGACGAAAAGGAAAAAGGCGAGTGGGTAGGGAAAAGAGAGAGAGAGAGAGAGAGAGAGAGAGAGAGAGAGAGAGAGAGAGAGAGAGAGAGAGAGAGAGAGAGAGAGAGAGAGAGAGAGAGAGNAGAGAGAGAGAGAGAGAGAGAGAGAGAGAGAGAGAGAGAGAGAGAGAGAGAGAGATTCAGTCTCGCCTGCTGGTCATTTTAACAGAATATGGAATATTCCGATATTCAATGAATGCGTCAAAAAGGAAACAAAAGTTTCAACTCCTGGCATCAAGAAAAGTTAGGTTAATTTAAAAAAAGAGGGAGATTCAACCCCTTGGATCTCAAAGAGGAAGAATCTCTTGCCTCCGAAAGAATAAGATTCAATCCCCGGGCGGGGGGGGCAAGGTCGGAGGGGCAGCGAGGGAGGGAAGGGGGTGTGTGTGTGTGTGTGTGTGTGTGTGTGTGAGTGAGTGAGAGAGAGAGAGAGAGAGAGAGAGAGAGAGAGAGAGAGAGAGAGAGCATGAGATGTGTAGATGGATACTTAGGTAGACCCCGAATATCTCATGGACATTTCCATGTGGGGGGGCGTGGCCGCACTGGCTTTACCTGTGTTTATCGTTAAACCCAGAAAATGGAAAAACAAAGTGTAAACAGAAACCCCAAGATGCAAAGAATTTCATTTTTTTTGACATCAGAAAGAGAATACTTCTTATGCACCAAGGAAGAAGTGCGCTGACAAGGTAACGGATGCTCAAGTATCCTGGACAGAACAGGGCAGTTCCTGACCAGCTGCAATCAGGCAAGCACACCCCTCTTGCTCTTTGCTTTTGTTTGCGACAAAAATTCCATTTGTTTTTGCGGGCGGAGCCGCAACAGGTACGCTAGTACTAATTCCTTCTTGTGTGGACGTTAGCGTGCACGGGCTTGAGGAAGAAAAGCAAAACGAAAGGGAGCGGGATGGCCTGGGGCGGATCACGACCGGAATTAAGTGGATTATGCAAACTGACTTTTTTTTCTCTCTTGCTGATGTCAGTGTGCAGCAGAGGTCCGGGACGGAGAACAAAACAAAAGCGAGCTGAACGGAACAGCAGGAATTGTGACGCAATGTAATGCAACATAACGCAAAAGAGGACAAGACAGCCTTTGTCTTTGATCCACGTCATCGTCATCGTCATCGTTGTTGCCATCATCATCATCATCATCATCATCATCATTATCATCATCATCATCATCATCATCATTATCATAATCATCATCATCATCATCATCATCAACAACATAATAGTAATACAAGGACCGTGTCTGCTTCGTCGTCTTGAGGCATAACGATGGAGGAGCTGATTGTCGAGGAAGCAAGGTCAAGTGCAGCGTTGCCTGCAATAGGCCGTGTGATAGACACACTGCTGAACGCAGATTCGCGCTGTCTAGACAGAGCGCTTGCTCTGGCCGTTGGAGGTGGTGAGGAGGGGGATGAACGAGATAGAGAAGCAGAGCTGCAGCTGCTACATAGCCGGGAAAGGAGACGTGCAGGGAGACTAGGTATGCGTGGAGCCCCCACCAACAGAACTGGACGATCGTATATGATGACGAGGAGGACGTAGAAGAGCTTCTGCTCTGGATTGGGATTGTCTCTCTTGCCTGCTGTTTGCTTGTGCTTTGCAGGTGGGATGTCACTTACAGGAAGTTGTGGAGATCCCGACGTGAATGGAAACGTAGCAGGTCGGGATCAAGATCCAGGTCGCGTAATCCACCACTGCAAGCAGAGACTAGCCTATTTTGTCGAGCTACGTATCACTGAATTTGTCCGCCGTTTGCTTGTGCTTTTTGCAGCCGGGATGTCGCTTACAGGAAGTGGTGGAGATCCCAACACGGATGGAAATGTAGCAGGTTGGGATCGGGTCGCGTAAACCACCAGTGCAATGGGAGACTAGCCTATTTTGTCGAACTGGCAATTTGCAGCTCCGTATCACCGAATTTGCTTGGAGTCGTAGCACAGGCTGTGGAGTCTATCTCGTCGTGCTTCTCTTCTTGATTGTCGTCTGGAGGCTTGTCCTTTTCTTTATGGTTTTCTTTTATTGATTTGGTTGATTGGTTGCACATGGTGATCTGTTGCCCTGGATGAATTGCAAAGGGATAGATATTTCCATTGCTGGTGTCATCATTACTTTCTTGCAATGATGTTTGGGTGCTCTGAATATGTGTGTGTTGGCAGGTCTGATTGATAGAGCTGTCGTTTCATTATTGGACCACGTGGACGCTGATTTGGAGAAATTCGCATCATTTCGTCGAATTGCTGGCCCTCTCCTTGAACATGTGTGTATATCCTGATGAGTCGGTGAAGCTCCGACGAAACAGTTTTGTCACAGCCCCTCGTTTGTTGTCCTCTTCTCCCTCTCTGCCTACGGTTTGAGTCGGTGAAACTCCGACGAAACAGTTTGTCACAGCCCCTCGTTTGTTGTCCTCTTCTCTCTCTCTGCCTACGGTCTACCGGGCAGTTCTGTTTGTGACGATATATGTGACGATATATATCGTCACAAACAGAACTGCCCGGTAAACCGTAGGCAGAGAGAGAGAAGAGGACAACAAACGAGAGGCTGTGACAAACTGTTTCGTCGGAGTTTCACCGACTCATATATATATCTCTCTCTGCCTACGGTTTACCGGGCAGTTCTATTTGTGACGATATATATACACAGCCCCTCTTTTGTTGTCCTCTTCTCTCTCTCTGCCTACGGTTTTACCGGGCAGTTCTGTTTGTGACGATATATATATTATCGTCATATATATATACGAAACAGTTTGCCACAGCCCCTCGTTTGTTGTCCTCTTCTCCCTCTCCGCCTACGGTTTACCGGGCAGCTCTGTTTGACTATATATACGATATACATACACACACACACATGCCCACGGGTTACGGGGCAACTCTGTTTGCCGATATATACATATATCATATATATGCATACTATATCTATCTCTATGATAATGTATACAATGTATATATATGCTGTCACAGCCCCCTCATTTGCTATCCTCTTCTCCCTCTCTGCTTACGGGTTACCAGGCAGTTCTCGTTGACAATATGCTGATGTGACGATATATGCTGATGTGTGGAGATTGCATGTAGTGGTCCTGTTTAGGCTCCAGAACCATGTCCCTATGCTCATTCCACTACCTTGCCCATGCACTCTTGTTTTTCTTTTTCCCTTTCCCCTCCTTTTCCTAGTCTTGCCTTCCTCTGCCTAGCGTCACCTTCACCTTTTCTGTGCCTTACAATAGCTATACACAGTGTGAGCTCACCCTCCTTTTCCGGCACAAAGCGAGAAGGGGCACCATAAGGAGATGAACTAGGCATGATCCATCCCTGTTCTACCAACTGGTTGAGCTGTTTGCAGAGCTCAGGCACTTCTGCTGACGACATCTTTATCTTTTAGTTGTATTTTTTCATGTGGAACTATTGAAGGTATACAGTCTTTACCCATAGGTGTTTTCCGTTTATGTAATAAAGACCATCAATGTATTTGGAATAGTGTTTTTTTTTTTTTTTTTTTTTTTTTTGGTAGAAGATTTGCAATTTGGAATAGTTTTAGCTTTTAGCTTTACACCAAAATCGTTTAAAATATATAGCGGATTTAGCCGTGTGTGATCAAGCTTTTGGGAATCTCTCTACAGTGTACGATCTCCATGCGGTGGTTGGTCTCCCACTGCAAAAATCCATCAGGTGTCTCTTGTAAGTCCTTCTACCACTCTAACAGCAATCTGATTGAGGGTGGAATGGCATCATCTACATCTTCTACCGCTCCTACATTCTCTTCTTTCATTTCTTTACTATCTGATTTTTTCTTCACTAGTGCTACAAACACCTGATCTGCCAACTTCTTCTGCACTACAGCACTCTTAAATGTGGGTGCGTTCATGCAACAGAGTCGAACAGATGAATAGTGGGGGATTCTCTTCAAGCCGAACAGACGAATAGTGGGGAATTCTCGTCAAACTCATCGTACAACTGGGCTAACTTCTTCTCTACTCTGCTGTTAGGCACACTTCTCTGGCCCTGAACCTGACGTCTGCGTCTGCTTCTTGGCCCCAGTCCATGCCTTCGATCATGTCGAACGGTAAGTAAACTTTCACTAAGAGAGCAAGAGAATGTGAAACACCTTCTCTCCCTCCAACCTGAAGTAACATTGTATGTCTTCTACATATTGTGTCACCTGAATCACGCTATTATCTGCTAACATAGATTCTATAGGCTTAGGTAGATCCTTGACCTCCATATGAAGGTTGATCATTTCTTCGTCTATGTCCTGAAGGGATTCACTTAGTGAGACTTTACACAGGTAGATGTCGGGCAACCTACTGAGTGTGGGGCTGCTTGAGCCTCTGCCATTGGTGCTTGTGAGCTGAAAGTGAGACCTACTTCAGCCTCTGCCATTGGTGCTTATGAGATGAAAGGGGACCTATGGCCGTGCAGGTCTTCTTTCTCTCCACTTGAACTCACAGCATCAGTAGAAGCAGATGCAAACTTCTACTGGTTCTTACCTTTTGACTGCTGGCATTTGGGGCAGTTTGGTACGGTGTTTGCCTCCTTGGGTTTTTGCCATGCTCAATCCTTGCCACCGTTCACTGTCTTCTAAACCTCTGTGAGGGGGATATCAAGTCGGCTTTCTCTTTTGCACTACTACTACTCTTTGGTTGGCCTCCCTTGCTGGCCTAAATAGCGGCGACTCTCCTTCCTCACGGCCTCTGTTGCTGCCGCTCTCTTCTTCATCGAACACCACCTCGTCCATCTGAATCTGGCCAGCAGCGCCATTGTCGTAGACAACCAGAATGTAATATCATGTGTTGTTGTTGAACACGACCGTCTTCCCCTTAGAACTCCCTCCCGTCATAGCAGCAGGACCTTTGTACTTCATCCATCAACTCCATGTCAATTGACCTAGGTCTCAACAGAAGTTGCATGACTCAAACAGATTGACTCTTGATCTGCGGCCCAACCATCACCAAGTCGAAAGGTCATTGGGAATTTCAAGCATAAAGAAACAAGCTGCATGCAAGGCTACTGTCTTCACCCGAAAATAATGCCCGGGCGTAGTTGAAACGGATTCCACCTTTTGCAGTAGCCGATGCAGATCCCAGGGCTCAATCCCTAGTCCTCATTTCACCTGTGTACAGTACCTGAGTCGACCCTGAGAGTTGAACCCGTGACTTATGTATTCACCGTAGTTGGTAGGCTGTCGTAGGTCCGTAGGTTGTAGGGGTTCGATCTGTAGACCTGTCGTTGTAGGTCTTAGCAGGTCCTAGGAATCGTAGCTGTAGCCCCTCCGAAGGGTCAAAGTCGTAGCTGCTGTAGTCCTGAAAGGTCAAGGTCGCAGCTGCTACGATACCGAAAGGCCAAGTCTACGGACTTCCGGAAGGTCCGGAGGTGGCCTTTCGGAGCTTGCTCACGTTTAGACAGAGACAAGTGGGCAAGTGGCGAGGCCAGCTGCAGTACGTCTGCAGTGCGACTGCAGCGAGTTGGCAATACGTCCCCATGCAGGCAGTGGTATCAGTCCCAGTCAGTCAGGGTCCAGTCAAGCAAGTACCGTGTGGGACTGTGTGCACCCAGGGCATGGGAAAGGGGCAGACCAACGAGCTACAGAAGTATAGAGCAAGAGGCAGCGACCAGTCATTTATTCATTCGCTGCGTAAGCCATGCGGAAGCGCTGCTACAGCGTCTTGTGCAAGGGTGGTCTGCAGGTTGCCCGAAGATGAAGTGGGCTGAAGGGAGATCGTAGCCATAGTCAGTAGTGGTAGTGCGGCCATAGCCGCTGTAGGAGGAAGTGAGATTAAGCGTGTGCGTGTGGTGGTATTCAGGGTGATCCAGAGTGAGCGTGTGTGAACAGCGGGGCTGGACACGGTGGCGAAGGTTGGGATGTTCAGGCGCCGATGCGCCATAGCCTGTTGCAGTGAACTTGCATCTGAACTGTGTTCTTGATTTCCATATCTCTAAGCTTTGAGTGGGCGCCCTGCGCCAGTGTGAATCTCCATCTGTTTGCATGTATGTGAAGTGGTAGTGGAAGCGAGTCTGATTGTATTGGTATCGGAGCTGGTTCCCGTTACCCCATGCGCCATAGTCGTTGCTAGTAGGGAAGAAGTCGCGCGCCAGTCAGGCGCCATAGCCGAGGTGCACCACCGGAGAAGGAAGTCCGCCATAGCTGTGCTGCGGAAGAAGGTGCCGTGTACCTGCA